CAGTTAACCTAATCATTTCAAGTCTGGTGCAAAAACGCATGATCGCACCGGCTCGCCTGGTGCGTTCCAGCCTGGTTTACCATGGCGTATTGGTAAAAATTTACTAAAATTCACCAAACTGGAATTAAAATAATTAAATTGAGAAGTATCAACCAAGCTAGAATCATGGCAGTAAGCTGGTATTCTTTTAAAATAAACTTAATCACTTAAATTTCAGCAATCAGCCCGACGTTTAATCAAAGAAGTGCATCGGGCAGAGAATTTTCAACCCCCGAGCCATCGTTCAGGCGATTCTATTCACCACAGCGGGCAGCGGCTTTTCACAGCAAAGTACTAGATACTGATATTTACTCTTTCATACTAGAAATTACAACTACAGCGGAGAAAAAATGACAAGGGGATCAAGGGAGAGGGGCTTAAGCATTGGAAGCACCCAATTCCCACCTGATCGTATTTGACTATTAAAGCTTCTTTAGATTTTAGTCATTTTAATCCCAAGTTTTCCCTCCTCCTTTTCTTTCCCAGTCCCATTCTTTGCCCCGGCCTTCCCGCACTACCTTTTCCCTTTCGGCCTCCTCTTCCTGTCCACATTGCAATTTTAACATGTCGCACAGGTAGCACGGAATACACCCGAAAGTTTAATTTTTTTTTTTTTACATCAAACACTTAGATAATTGGGGAATGTGTTCGCAAAAAAATTAGATTTTCGTGCGTGAGGCACTCGATTTCTAATCAAACTGTGCAGATCTGTTAGTAAACGAAGGCAGCATATGCATAATTTTAATTGAGAGAAATGCATCAATAATTGAAAAATTTGCTACAATATTGATGCAGTAACCAAAATATGGAATTATAGCCGGCATCGGGTCCAATGACAGCGTTTGAACGACAAGCAGAAGATTTCAAAATTCGACTGCTTGGAAATAACGGTTTTGGCGACATTATGAGAGCGCTGGAGCATGCAAAAATTGGATTTTACGAAAGGTTTGGAAAATTTTATTCATAAAAGTCAATTTTTTACTTGAAAAAAATCCGCACAAAAAATTATCTTAACTTCATTTTTTTAAATTTCATATATTTTATTAATAACCGTTGCAACTTTCTGTTTTAATTGTGAACAAACCGGAATTTCTTTAAAGCTTAACAACCTGCATTTGAATTGTCTAAAACAAAAACGCATTGCGATATATTCGTAAGTGTGATCGGTGTCTCATCCCGCTTACACACACACACACACACACTCCTAATACATTTCATTAGTTCCACTTTCACTGACCTCATATTTCATGTTCTTAACTTCATAATCAGAAAGTTCATATTTGGAAAGTGCAATTACTGATCTATCTTTGAGACAACAAATCAAATTTAAATAACCTTACATACTCCACTTTGGTGGGAGGGTATCCGCAATAGCACTTGGTTCCATGACGCTCACGGTTACGTATTTCAACAAGTGTGCGAATGGACTGTACAGCACATGAGCGGCAACCATCCGCTGGGTAAGCCGGCGATGGCTCTCTTTTTTGAGGTTCGCTTTTCAGCAGACTGATTTCAGTTATGACTCTCTGACATAGGCCGATACCAATTTACTGTTGAAATGGATGAATGAATGAATCGTGGAAGGAATCGCTGTATCACCCGGTGGGGTAGAATCTTTGACATTCACTGAGATGATAACGCTATGTGCATATGTCTGACAGCTGAAGAAATGTAATTTTTACATATAGCTGATTTTTGGCGCGCGGTCAAAAAAATTTAGACAGCAATACACCCAATTCAGGTCTACCTATGCCATCGCCTTTCCTCTCTTGCCCATTCAATTCCTCCCGTTTCCCATCTTCCCGCAACTGTACCGCGGACCGACTGTTCTCGGATAAGTTTTCTTACTCTAACCGACACTTAACCTGCTACCTACCTCTCGCATATAGTCATCGATCCTTTAATCCTCTTCTTCCAGCGACACTAACTTCCTAGCAACAGCTCACGTGTGCCTATTAGCTTGTCTCCTCATCCTATCTTGTATACACGGGAACGTGCACTATTAAACAAATCTTTTTCAGGCCTAACTATAGAAACTAACGAAATGAAGTATTTAAATCTCTCAGCTGGAATACAACGTCCATTGGGAATTTGAAAAATCGAAAGGCAGATGCTTTTAGAATCATCACGTTCATATGTTAGCTGAAATTTCACTTCATAATATCGTGGAATTATACGGATAGTTGTACATATTGGATACGGTTCATTCAGTTACCCTGATGGCCAGAATTATTTTTAAAGTTGCTTAACCTATTCCGTTCATGTTTTTGTATATCATTTTGTATTGTTTCTGTGTCAAAACTCAAAATCATTGCCCTTTCGCACTCCCTCCGCTTGAAACGTAGAAATACTCAAAAGTAGCCTGGATGATACCACTTTTCAAAATCAGACACCCGATAACAAGACTATCAACGACTTCCTTTTTCGGGAGTTGCTTGAAAGCAAGTTTTTAACAGGTGCGAATCCTTGCAATATATTAATACCAATTTACTATCGAAACGAGTGAACAAAATACAGAGGGACTCGTCACAGTGCGGGTGTATTTGGACCTTTGATGTTCTGCTTAAAAGGCAGCAACTACTCCCCAATGTTCCTTGCTGTAGATTTCACAAAATAAGTGCGATTACTCCGAAATAGCTTTTGACGCTTTTAATACCCCTCTAAGCTGTTATGTCTCACTCCACTTGTGCTCGCCTCTGTTGTTCTCCCGCAAGTCCATCACATCTTGCAGATGCTCTATATGTTCATTTTCATTCTGAAATAGTCCATAGTTTTACTTGTTATTTACTCTGTTTACAGAATAATCAATTTTCCCCGTCCACAGATTTCTGTCCCTGCTATGAAAATATGCTGAAATATATGGCCCTCTTTTACTCCCGTATGCATTGACATAATTTAGGTGCTTTAAATAATTCATGTTACTCACAAATTGTACATATTTTAAAAAAAAAAAAAAACAGTATGTTTTGTAAAAAGTGGCTGCACGTTTAGTGCGCAAAGTCGTGACGGAGAAATCGTGGGACGTCGGACTACTAACACATCGCTACTGAACAGCTTTATCCTATGAGACGAATTTTCATGATCCGATTATCAAAATACTCCAGAACAAAAAATTTATTTCTTTATTGCTGAAAATCATAAATTTGTGCTCTCGATTAAATGACCCATCTGAATTTATTTTATATGGAGGTTGGAGAGGAAATTGTTTTGTTTGATAAATAAATGAACCGTACTGAACGGAAGAAAATAAGTGGCGGAAAGGGAAAAATGGGTTTTAACATGAGTGACGTGAAGTATCGAATCCAGGTTATTTTCTGCAACTGAATTTGTCGGCATATCACTTTAAGCGACATTTCAGCGCGAGTAAAATTACATAAGAAGATTCCACATTTACTATTTTGTAAAAAATTCTAATTGTGAGCACTAATATGATGCTTTAAGCGATGTACCGACAAATTCGGTTGTTCTTTACAAAATAATGCAGGAATAAGATAAAGGTGCAGATGGTATACAAGTCGCGGAATGCTAATACAGTCCAGAATCTCATTAACCAGAAAGATGGAATATTTACTTACGAAGATATCAGTGCTTGGAGAAACCAACAACTGAAAAAACAACGGTCTCAGATATTGTCAGACGCTTAGCCATTGTTGCTTACAAGTGCCCTCAACGAGAACGGGGCGAAAGGGGCGAAAAGTTTACGTGTGGAGGGATGTGAGTGTGTGCGTGTGTGTGTTCGTGTGTTTGTGCGTTTCAATTTTGGATGCGTGTGCACATCGTTAGTGTGTCCGCATAATTATGTTTGTTAGTGAATTTATGCATGTCCTTGTGCGTGTGTGTGGCTGGTTGCGTATGCTGTGGGTGTTTGCATGTGTATGTATGTGTGTGAGTGTGTGAGTTGTGCTTCTGCGTGTTCGTGTACGCTAAGAGAAGGCCTCCCAAGAATGTAGCTGACGTCTGTTATGCAAACCACTCAAAATACTGGTGTGCATAGTTGGCTCGCGCAACTATGCGTTGTGCCAAGATCTGTTATTATATTAAAAGGATGTCAGCAATTTATAACGACTTATCCGTATAGGAGACGAAGGCATACGTGAAAGGTGGATTAAATTTTCAGAACTATACATGAACAGCAGCAGTCTCTGAAGTTTTATCTTTCACTGTTATCGGCTTCTGTATTAGAAAGATGCCAACAACTTCCAAGTTCGATATGCGCGCTCGTACGTGAAAAATAATCATGAAGCGTACAGCACAGACGTGACATTTACGAGTCTCATCCTCGCACGCGTGAGATATGAGACTCAATTGACGGGGAATCTACTGCTTATATAATCCTGAGCAGACATTTCCATGCATCCTTCGCGCTATTGTTCTTGTAATTACACTGAACCGAAAGGCGATAATATTCTGCTGACCTGGGAGCAGGATTTTGGTATTTTTGGTACTCTTGTCAAAACGAGTTCATTAGGCAACCGAATCTAAAATACAGCAACACTTGTTTTATTCGTCCACGGCCTTTGTTTACTCATCGAGGTTTTTAGTCAGCTAGCCATCCTAGTCAGATGGGCCGGTTCGACTGTAGTCCTGTGTACACCTGTTCTGCTTCTACCACTGTGATCATCGTTTAGTCCAGGGACCAGGGGGAGCTTTTGCATCTCTGAAAGCTTTTACAATTACGCTGATCCTGTGATCGGTGCAGCCATGCGTTACGGCAACAGCAACCCCCGCCGCTACTGGTATGTTTTGATTTCATGTGCTGGCAATATCATGTCCTCTTCATGGCTTTTTTTAACACTACCTTATTTTGTCCCATGTTTCTGCAGCAAGTTAAACTTGAAGCCTTCTCCCACATTTTGGTGAAGTGGAAAGCAAAGACGTTTGTTAGCAGGCCAGGGGCTAGCCACCGGCAGTAACCACCTGCTCGCAAGGTTTTCGGTGAAATGCTCTTTTGAGAATTCTTAAAAAGCAAGCCGAAAATGAGCAGACCACTTCTTAGCTTGCGTGAACACCAATTTGCCGACGAATTGAATTGGCAGCGACCGACGCTAGGCGATTCTACAAGGCAGTTCAGCATTGTTATCGAATTCCGCACGAAGAGAAGTGCAAATCAACGACAGCACTGCATTACAAATGCATTCAGACCTCCGTCAACCAGTACAGAACTCGACGACCAAGAAAAGGCGAGCAGTGACTAACCGACTGCAGCAAAAACACTGATTGTGTCTCCGATTTCTTTGGAATTCTAGGATCAAACTTTAGGGCACGCATCACACATCATCCTTTGTACGGCTTCGGCGGATCCAAGCTAGTTAACTTCCTGGCTCGATCCCCGAGCACCGTTTTTAGAACATGGGCTGATCCCCCGGCACTACTAAGATTGGTGCTAAGGAAGATACTGTGTAAGACCAAACGAGAAAAAAAACACTGTAAATTTTGTGATGAGAGCAACGCTCTATCGCACAAGCCTGTTGCAAAACAGTGTGAAGAAAACCGAGATTCGTGAACTGGGCCACGAAGCCAGCCTGCTTGAAACTGCCTAAGCCGCGCATCCTTCTTCTCCTTCTTCCCTCCCTAGTTCTCTCTGCCCAGCAGAAGTAATGCCTTTTTTTTTGTTAGTATGATAATGCTTTTGCAAAGAAAATGGCTGTCAGCAAATGGCAATCAAAAAATGGCTATCAATAAATGGCTACGAGCTTCTTCTTGTGGGGAAAAAGATCATATCTTCTGAAGGAATTTTGGAACTGTTTTGAATGATGCCGCTTCCTGAAAAATAATTTCTCTTCCTCTCATAACCTCACCAACCCTGGATAATTTGTTTTGTACAATGGTCAAGGAAGCCGAAAACAACAATTTTGAGGCACAATGGACACAGACTGGTCCAAATTAACTTCATGAACGGCATCCTGGCACAGACGAGGACGCGCTCTGTCTATTGTAAAGTACTCTTAATATATTCCTTGGTTATAGTC